TGTAGATTCAGATTTTACTAACTCATCTTGTAATTTTTTTAGCAAAAAAGGAATTTGCTTCAATTCAGCATTAGCTATTGCCCTGATTGATGCATCAAAGTTATCCATCTTGTAAAACGCGCGCAAATAAATAACTATAAAAAAAAATTTAATGAAATAAATTGTTTTAAAGGTTAAATTGATATTTACTTTATTGAATGAGTTATAACCGTTGCTATAGCATTTAAAAGCGCCTAAATGGAAACTTCGGTCGAGGATGTTGTTAGCAGATCCGACAGCCAAAATGAAGCTCAATGCGAAACGCACTCTTTAGTTGGAGAAGATGAGGAATTATCTCATATTATCCCGGAGAAGATTATAGAGGACGAGAAGGACATTATTAAAGAATTGAGTCCTCTTTATCTTCCAAAAAAATATGTTATGCTTCCTGACGACTTTGAGGGATGGGACTTCCCTCCCTCATACAAAGAAAATACCGAAAAGGAAAGCAGGCTTTTATTTTATTGCGAAAACTTTAGCCGACAATATGCTTATTTGTGTCGCGATCGCACGCGACTATTCCTTACTCCATTTAACGAATGTGGAATAGAAAAATTCGTCTGTACCACCATACAACCAACTAGATTGCCCTTCAGCGAACTTTATTCTTGGCAAGGGGCAGGCAGATTCGTATCCGATTTTTTAGATTTTGTTCCTCTTTTGCCATCTACTGAGCTTCCTAGACGACTTCTCAGCCCAGATACCTGCATGAAGCTGCAAAAGGGAACTTGTTTTGAGTATGCAACACTACTTTGTTCTTTGCTATTGGGAGTTGGTTATGACGCCTACGTTGTTTGCGGCTATGCAACAAGGGAAACATGCTACATGGACGAGTCCAGCAAAATATGCCCACTATTGGCGAGGGATAAAGTTGTGATGCTAACAGCAGAAGAAAGTGAAATAAAAAAATATAGTGTTAAACCACCTAAAGACTTGGTATCTAAATATAAATTAATGCTAGAAGCCCGAGCTATTGAAAAAGAAAAAAGTATAGAGGAAGATAAAGCAAATGCCCTAATACTAGAAGAGCAAGAAAGAGATAAACCTCTCCCAGATCCTCTTTATGGTTTACGAGTTCACGCATGGATTTTAGTACTCCCCGGGCGCCGTGAAATCGGAGAGGCGTTTTTCATTGAGGTCCTAACTGGCCTTTCTCAACCAATTTCCACTAATCTATACCTTGGGATAGAAAGTCTTTGGAACAATGAAAATTATTGGGTCAATATTCAAGATTGTTCGAATGGTATCTTAAACATGAGCTTTGATTTGCGAGATGGTGCTTG